CCCCAAATAAATCCCCAGTTTCTAAGTAAAATCACTTGAAACTTTAGTCACAAATTTAGAGCAATAATTTGACAGAAAGAAGCATATATATTAGCACAAATTTCCATTTCTTGTGGGCTTCTTTTGGTCCTCATTTAGAAGACTTCATTTGGGCTCTTTAGTGCTCACTACAGGTATTTAAAGTATTTCAAATTTCCCCCACCAAAAAAAAAAAAAGTATTTCAAATTTCAATCCAGAGATGAGCACCATAGTGATTAGTGAGTCTCCATAGTCCATTCTATAGTCTTTGAGTTTGGACCGGTCCACATCACAAATACTATAGTATCATTTTCACACACACTAATTTAATTGTAGTAATTCTGAAGTATTATTTTAGTTACACTTCAAAAGTTTATTTGGCAATATATGTTATTGTATAACTCTGGATTTTAGTTTCATTTTTCACATACACTAGTTTCATTATAGCAACACTAAACTATTATTATTTCAGTTATACTACAGTTTCATTTGATAATATACATTATTGAATGAGCTATGTTTTTTAGTTTCATTTTCCACACACTAGTTTCATTATAGCAACACTAAAGTATTATTTTAATTCTACTAAAATTTCATTCGCCAATCATGGTTTGCACAGCATTGTGTAGACCATGGTCCACTATATAATTAACTCAACATGGTAGCTCAAATAACAAATAAGCTCTCTTTGTGGGAGAAAATTTTGGGATAACTTGGGTTCGATTCCCACGAGTAACTATTTCATTTTGGCCAGCTCCTGTGCCTCTCAAAGAGAGTTACAAATATGCCAAATGAACACAAGGTATTTAACATTCAAAAAAAATAAGTTATCTATATATACTCTTATAAATTATTTATATATCGAGAATATATAGTTTTTGGTAGATGGGGGAAGTCATTTGAATTCTTCTATCTATCTTTCGAGGAAAGTTCATTACGGCCTGTGACATATAAAATTGTAGGGCAAGGGTGATGTCCATATTGGCAGACCACAACAAAACTAATAAGCGTGAAAGCATCTTTGATAAATTGAATTGGACCTACGGAGAACGAAATATCGGAAATAATTGCTGGGGAATTTGTTATAAAACATTTCCGTTAAAATATCGCGTTTTGGGATTCGATTGAATTTTCTAACAATATATTTTCAAATTATTTAGAATGTTTGAAATATATTATATTAGTCCAAACTCATATTTATTTTCAATATAAAAGCACGAATTCTTTTTAAAAATTTAAAGCTCATTTTAAAAAAATTAATGGTATATTTGAGAATCAAATTTTTATTGACTCATTATTTATTTTAAGTGTTTTTTTTTTGTGCGTTTAAGTGTATAATTATATATGAAATTTATTTACTCGACTAGAAGAATCTGGATCTGAACAGACTCAAATAAAAATGGCCCCACTGAATCTGGATCTGAATAGACTCAAATAAAAAATGGCCCCACTAAAAACAATGTTTTAAAATGACCACTCATATACTATTTTCATGCTAATATTTAACAATGGTGACACTAAATTTTTTTCAACAAATTTTTTTTTTTGGGAAGGAAAGACTTAATTTTTTTCAACAATTTTTTAAATCAATGATTATTACAAAAACTAGAGGAAGCATGCAGACTTGTGAGTAGAGCTATCAAAATAGCTTAAGCCCGCCTCGACCTAGAATGAACGCGGTGATGGCTTTAAAGCCCACCTCGCCTAGGTTTAAATATTTTAAAAGCGTATTACTAATTAGTAGGGATGGCAATGTGCCCCATCCCCGTCGGGGTTCCCCGCCCCCGTAGGGAATGGGGACAGGGATGAGAAAAAATTTCGGAGATCGGAGACGTAAAAATTCCCCCGCGGGGATGGGGACGGGGACGGGAATACCCCTTCCCGCCCCGCCCCGTCCCGTCCCGTCCCCGAATAATTATTATAACTAAAATAAATAAATAAGTTATATATATATATATATATATATATATATATATATATATATATATATATATATATATATATATATATATATATATATAATTTTATCGACTATTTACACCCATACACTTTATTTATTAAAATAATAAAAAAATATTTTTCAAAATGAAAATTACAAGGTGGGGCAACAAAATAAGTCTAATATTTGTTTTAAACGGTACACAACAATTCAAAGAGTTAATACTCCACCATCAAAGTTCAATCCTGTAACATTTCCTCAAGCGGAAGGACAGAATTGCCATTTGAGCACAATGTGCTTGGCAAACGATACATTAATTAGATACAAACATTCCATTTGCTAATATAATAGTACCCGGCCAACCTATAACCTTCTCATCATTACACCGCCCGTGATTCACATTACATTGCATGGTAGAACACTAACGACATACATATTTATTTTTAATATATTATATATTCATTTTTTGAAACTTCATTTTTAATATATACTAAAATTAAGCTTTCAATATATTTAAAAGGAATAAGGTTCAAATTAGCAACTAAACATAACTTGAAAATGTAATTATGCTACTGAAAAAAAAAAAAAAAAAAAAAAAAGAGTGCAATTAAGCAACTAAACACCTCAAATGTATGCAATTTCACCTGATAGCATGTTACCATCCACTTTATCAGGTTGTCTGTTTACGTGGAAAGTGAGTTGACAAATTTATTGACATTTTAAATAATTTTTAATAATAAACAAAAAAAAAAGGGTAGCCACTCCCCCCCCCCCCCCCTCCCCTCCTTCTTCGTCTCCGGCGAATACGAAGGAGGGGGGAAGGGGGTGGCGTGAGACGTAACGTAGGACCTGTCTCACGTCACACCTGGCCCCTTCCCCCTTCCTTCGTCTCCAACCGGAGATGAAGGAGGAGGGAGGGGGGTAACATAATGAAATGGATGGTAACCTACTATCCACGTAATTTTTAATTTTTAAAGTATTATTACAAATTATTTTAAAATGTCAACTCACTATTCACGTAAGCAGGCAATCTGATGAAATAATGATAACCTACTATCATGTGAAATTGCATACATTGGAATTTTTAGTGACTTAATTGTATTTTTTTGACGTTCAGTGACCTAATTACACTTTTAGATTACGTTCAGTGACTAGTTTGGAATTTTTTTTTTTGAATGCGACTAGTTTGGAACTTATTCCTAAAAAAATTAAAATTTACTCCGTAATTAATATTTTAAAAATAAACATACCTCAATATGCATCTTGTAATATGAACTATGATCGGAATATAATTTGCTATAACGCTCCACCCAATATAATTCTATATCAGCGACATGTATCATATCATCAGTCACCTTCTTTCGTAGCAATCAAACTATAGCGTCACCTTCGTCCTTATCAACTTCCTTCTTCCCTCTACCCAATTTCCCTTGATAAAACCACCCATCTCCATCATACAACTTGAAGTCATACTATTTAGGATTTAATACCAGACAAAATTTGCTGTTAGCAACTCTTTCTCCTTGATTGGTTGACTATGTAATCAATGTCGATTCATCTTATTAAATTATTCATCTATTAAAAAGGGTCATCTTACGGAAATTATTTGGATTTTCATTGCTAACAAAAGATCAGACAAAATTCCTTTACCATCAGACCCCACATCTTGACTGATAATATAATAGAGGAATATATAAAAGATGGTGACTCAGTTTAAGAGATGAGAAAATTTATATCTACGATACTCGTAAAGAGCCCGGTCACTACATTTAGTAAAACTCTTACACTCTTGTTGAAATTTAATCATGTGTTCTTGCTCACAGTTTATTACTCAGATTCAACTTATGAGTTTCTCATGTGGAATTATTTAGATTTCCATGTTGATGATTCATATATAGAGAAGTATTATGTGAAATTGGTAATAGATCAAAATGACTGGTACTTGAGTGATTTTTACTGTGAGCTCTCAACAAAAGTACCAAACTTAAAGAATATTATGAGAGTCAAATTAAAGTTAAATGACTCCACTACAAAGCATCCATCATTTCAAAAGCTCCTCTTGTGGAGTATGTTAGATTGTATTAATGACTTTTACTAATAATTAGCTAACTAATATACAAATTATTATGTCATTAAATAATTAACTTATTCTTCCCCGACCACAGATTAAAATTTTTGAATGCCGTTGACTCTGTTACAATATAGTATATATGTTCATACATACTTTCTCAACCTACTGAAACACAATTAAAGTTAAATCCCATACAATTGGATTATTATGCCATTAACTAATCTAACTTATTAAAAAGTGTAACCCCCAAAGTAGGGATTGTTATGTTGTGCAATCGTGTGCACCATGCATGGTGCACACGGGTCTAGATTCATAATTTTTATATCGTAGGTTCATTAACTCTATACTCTAGATTTATAATTTCTAAACCGTAGATTCATAATTTAAATACAGTAGATTCATAATTTCTATACTGCAGATTCATAATATCTGTACTGTAGATTCATAATTTCTAAACTGTATAGTTATCACATTATGAACATATAGCTATGTGATTTGTGAATACAGAGTTCAATAATTGAGAATATGAACATCGACAATTATGAGCATATAGCTCTTTAATTATGAACATATATTTATAAAATTATGAATCTACAGTATAAATTTTATGAATCTACAATATAGAAATTCTGAATCTAGACTTGTGTACAGCATGCATGGTGCACACGGTTGCACAACATAATTTGCCCCAAAGTAGAGGGAATCCGGGCACCACAGACAAAATGTACATAAGTACAAAACCCCACGTAGTAACAAATATAGTAGGAAGTAGCTTCCCCTGCAACTTCGAGGAAACCAAAAGAAAACAGAAGCATCCATTTCCCAAGAAATTGACACCCCAAAATTACACTACCATACTCCACTTCCATCTTTACCACTCCAAATTTTCCCAGCACCAATTAACCCCACCATCCTCGTCTATTTAAACCGCACCTGCATGGGCCGCCATCTTCATCTTCATCTTCATCCAATCCACCATACATATACACATTTGCAATATAAATATTACAGGAACTAACTTAATTAGCAGAAAAATGGCAGGGGGAATGGGGCGTGATGTGGTGTTCGAGGACTTCTTCCCGTCAATGGTGGAGAAGCTGGGAGCGGAAGGGTTCTTACAGGAGCTGTGCAATGGGTTTCAGCTGCTCCGGGATGGGGAGAAAGGGGTGATCACGTTTGAGAGCTTGAAGAAGAACATGGCGCAGTTAGGGTTGGGAGGGATTAGCGACGAGGAGCTGAGGTGCATGATGAAGGAAGGGGACATGGATGGGGATGGGTGCTTGAGTGAGATGGAGTTTTGTGTGCTCATGTTTAGGTTGAGCCCAGATTTGATGAGCAAATGCAGAATGTGGATGGACACCGTCATTAATAATAATCGAGCTTAATTATTTACTTAGTCATCATCATTACAGTCCATTATATTAATTAATGACTGTATGTTATCATTTTGTAGTTTAATTAATTTGTCTCCTATATCTCTGCATGCATCTGTTACTTTGTTTCCATCTCATTATTAAGCTAGTCTTGTTATCCTTAATGATATGAATTTTTTTTTTTTTTTTTAGAATAAATGATATGAAATATTTTATGTTTTAAGTTGTTCTCTTTCTTCGAGAATTTTCTCTTGTCACCTGTTGATATTCTTGTTTCCTTATCCTACATCAATATCAAATTAATACCTTCTTTTATTTCATTCTTCCCAAAGAGATTGAATCTCCAACCCGTCGGGCCTCACACCCCGACCCGACAGAGTATCTGGGAGGATGTTAATTATGGTAACTCAATTGAACACAGACATTAGAGCTTATTTTATTTCATTATTCCAAAAGGCTGAACCCCAACCCTAAGGGCCCCCCACACCCCGGCAGAGCATTTGGGAAGATGTAAATCATGGTGACTCAACCGAACATGAACCATAGAGGCTAGACCGGTGTTCATTGCGCACAAGGAACCCCCCTCACTTTGAGAGGTTGCTCCCACACTGTCGCTGGTGAGACTCGATCCCTGGTCATTATTTCAAAGTTTCACCTCTATGACCAGTTGAGCTACCCATGCGGGCGCTTATTTTATTTCATGTTAACATGAAATGTGTGTATTTGCAAGAATTTCTTTTCCCACAAAATTAAATCACTAGAAATACAGTGAAATTCTTGCCTGTTTGGGCTGGGTTCAAAGTTCAATTATGAAACCATATAATAGTTTATTCTTGCCTGTTTTAGGTTGGGCCATCCTGTTATATCCTTTTCAAGACTTGGACATTCTTTAGGTTTCTTGCCGGCCTGTTTTAGGTTTGGGGCAAATTATTGTGTGGATCATGTTGTGTGGACTGTGGTCCACAGAGTTGTGTGAACTACGGTCTAAAATGATGTCGTTGAATTTTATAAGTTAAACTAATATACTTTATGTGTTTGAATAATGTCATTATTTGTTAGAATAATAAAATTTCTGGAGTAAGATAATGTACTTTATAAGTTAAAATAATGTACATTATAAGTTATAAAAATGTATATTACAATGGGTCGCGTGAAAAAAATTATGTAAAATGAAGTCATTTTTTAATTGTGATCTAAACATATGTGTGGACTATGATACACGCAATAAGTATTGCTGTTTGGCCCAATTCCTAGATTAGCATGACATATTATTTAATTTTCCGAGAACTGGTTACTCGTGGGGTCAACTTAATTAAAGATATCAGATTTTAGCCCTAAGACTAACAAGACAACATCACATCCATGTTAATTTATCAAATCATGGTCTACCTTACGAAATGGCACCAAATTATTACAATTGTTATCCTTAGATGTAATGATTGTATCCCGTTCTAGGATATAACAATTGCCAAATTCCAAAGTGAGCCTACTTTTTCATTTCATTTTTTTTTGAAAAATATGTATTAATTATTTGTTGCCGTTGTTTAAAGTGAGATAAAATTATATGGATGTAAAACAAAATAAAGAAAATAAGTGAATTACAAATATGATGATATGACTCTCAATTGAACTCGCTGCAAATGATTTTTTTTATACGATTTATCTATTATGTGTGTCTTGTAAAATATTACACAAGAGTGAAGTTTACATAATAATCACTTTTAAATAGTGGCTGCGAATTTTTTACGTCACTCAATAAAAAGGAAAAGAGTATTATATGAATAAATATAGCCTTGGGCTACTTATTTCCCTTCAAAAAAAAAAGACCTTGGGCTAGTTTTGACTTTTGACAGTTGGAAGCTAGCAGCCATATTATATGCAAGTGGGCGTGGTAATTTGAACGCAGATAACACAGGTATATGCCATTCTGCAAAATTTCTTGTCTTTTAGAATAAATCAAATTGGATAGGATTACGCAACTCCATTTTCAAATTTCAAGGAAGCTTCTTATATGTGCTTCTTAGGATTTTAATTTAAAATTCAATGAAAAAAAAAGTCAAATTATATATAGTAAAACGCGATGAGTCAATTCAACAACTCCGATTCACGTCACAAAATTAGAAAATTAAACAAGCAAACGAAAATTCGGATTCACATAATTAACAAAACCTTATTAATTAGCGTGATCAATGTTTCTTTTTATTGTCACTTTCGTCATAAATAAATTTTTGATTTGATATATTCTCCTAGTGTGTTTCACAACGATTTTAATGTCTTGGCGCAGTACACCTTAAAAAAATATCAAATCCTCATTCTCCAGAAATACAATGATAATAGACATAGATTTTTTAATTTATATATGTAAATTAGGTGTACAGTTTCATCAATGCCCAATGCGCAATTTTAATTAATTGACCAAAGTTCATGTTAAATTTTATAATGTATTTTTTTTTAATACACTCTAACATATTCATAATATTTCATAATATATGTTTAACAATAATGTCAATTTTGATTGGGATGGGTTCGACGAACCTAATATCTTCCTTATGAAAATCAATGAGCAAGTTAAGAATAATAAATTGTTAACGGAATATTTCGTGTTAAAGTTTACACTGACGGAATACAATGATATTTAAGAAAAGTAAATAATATAATAAACGGTAAAATAGAAAAAATAATTTTTAAAAAATACTAAAATCAAAATAATATGAACCATTCATTTCAACGAACAATTACACTAACATTTTTTAGTTCTCGTCTTTATTAGCTCTTACTAGTTTTTTTACGCGCTTTGCGCGAATGGGATAATGCCCAATAATTATTTTTAAATAAGTATTTCAAAGTATATCAATGTAATATTATATAGGAGATATTCATGCATAGGTAAATACATGTTGAATTTGTTTATTTAAATTGGTAATTTAAAGTATATAAATGCAAGATAATATATAAGAGATTGATATAATTATAATTGTCACTAAAATAAATGTTTGCAACTTCGTAATAACGCTAGTCTAAATACTTAGTCCTAAAACAATAGTCTAAATAAATACTACTTTTAGTTTAAATGTATCTAATTCTTCTTAATTCTCTTTTGGGTAGCATTGTTATTGTTTTCATCTTCAGTAAATGTTCTCTTTGTTTTTTATTTTATTTTATAGGTAGTGTGTCATGTGCAATTAGGTTACTGGTAGCAGCATAGAGGGATTCATCATGCAATGAGATTATGGTGTAGGAAGTTTTCGATTTGCCTTGCTGTGTATATGACTGAGATTTTAGTTGTAATATGAACTCTTTAGCGTACAAACACCTATTCATATTTAGTAGTGGTAGTTTTTTCCCTACATGTTTAATGTGTTGTGAGATGTGTGTTGTAGGTTATCATCTGAAAGTATTGAACAAAATATTAATATTTATTATATTTGTATAAAATACTTGATATATATATATATATATATATATATATATATATATATATATATATATATATATATATATATATAACTTTGATATTTAATTACAAGATAATGTAAAAAAAAAAAAAGACAATGAACAATGTAGTAAATATAATAAATTAATAAGTTTGAAGGTAATGAATCTTTGAATTGTAGAAAATAAAGATAATATAACTAATGAAATTATATTTCTTTTAAGCTTTTTTATAATGAATAATTTTTTTTTTAAATAAAGCATTATAGACATCTAATTCTAAATTAATTAAATGCATATGTGTTATTTTTTGTTGTAGCTACTAATTTATTTAATAAATAAGAGTAATAAAGTGTCGTACATACTTTTCTTCAACAATAATGAAATCAATGGTTTTTAAAAAAAAAAAAAAAATTCCATTCCTTGTTGAGACAAATTGTTTTGAGAGTTTGTCCATGACAATTGCTACAATTCTTGTCAATAGAAGATGATAATAAATAATTCAAAATATATGGTTACAATAGATATTAATATAATGATATAGTAAAATTAACTTACAAATTTCTTTAGAAGTTTTCATGCATTGATAAAATTTTGATGTGTAAACTTGTTCAATTGGAGCTTGTAGGATGTTAACATTGTCAATTGTTTGGAAAATGATCCTATCGTTTTAGAGTCTATGTGTAATTGTATTTATGATCAACAAGTTCGTAGTTAGGCCGCGCAGGTCTGACAATGATGTAAGAATAATTTTGTCTGATAAAAAAATAATAGTATAATATTTGTAAAGTAAAAAAAAAAAAAAAAAGAAAGAACTTAACCTAATTTTTTTAAAATAAAAAATTCAAGAAAATCAAATGATTTTAAAGTAGTTCCTGGTTTATAATCTTTGATGCTCAACTTTGAATGCTATGTATTTAGTCGAGCTAATTATTTGACCAAAGTTTATGTTAAATTTTATATTATATATATTTTTAATACATTTTAACATATTCATAATATATGTTTAACAATTATGCCAATTATACTTGGGATGGGGTTCGAACCTAAGACCTTATATAAATTAAGAGTATGTTAAGAATAATAAATAGTTAACGGAATATTCCGTTACTAAAGTTTAAACTAACGGAATTTAGGGTTATTTAAGGGAAGAAAATAATATAATAGAGGGTAAATAAGGAAAATCATTAAAAAAAATACTAAAATCAAAATAATATGAACCATTATTTTAAGAAACAATTAGTACTGACATTTTTTTTTTGTTCCAGTTAAGGATCTAACATTATTCGCTCTTATTAGATTTGTAGATTAGATTCGTAGGTGTAGCTAGATATATAATAATAACCGATAAGTATACTTAAAGTATACCCTTTTTCGTCTTTTAAAGTATAATTCTTGTCCCATGTTATTATTTTATCAAATGAATTTTTATTTTTATTTTTTATAAAAATTGTAATACATCTTTTTTTTTTTTTGTAAAATCACGATGTGTTCTAAGTAGGTCTTAACTGTAGAATTCACCTTTAAACTCGTATTACATTCAGATTAATCCCGTTCGCACCGGACTGACCCAATTAAGGGGCAAAGTGCTGGCTAGATTTGATTTTCCATACGAGAAATGTTCAAACTCCCGACCTCTTTTAAAAAACAACCGTGCACGATCACTCATGTCAACCAAGCTGGTTAGTGTAATACA